TATCTGTGTCCGTTGCCCCACCTACCCATCCCCACACTCCCGCATACACAGACACTCTCCTGGCTGAATGGGCTTTCCTTGCACACAGCACTCGTCAGAAGGAAGGGGGGAGGAAGTCATCTCCAGCTCCCACTTACTCCCTCACCTCTGGGCACACACCCTTTCCTGGGGTCCTGAGGGTGGAGAGGAAGGTGAGGTCAGGGGGTAAACAGAGGTGTGGGCACCACACACCTACAGGCATGGAGGGGCCTGGGGCCTGCCCACGGAGTGAATGTGACAGAGACTCAGAGAGGAGCGGTCAGGAGCGGGGGGTGAAGCAGAGCCCCAGACACCGGGTACTTGCCTTTCCAAAATGCATCTTCTCTCCCGGGACTGTGTCCACGGGGGCCTGGCCCCTCGCCCCTGCCCAGCTGGTGGTCATTTTCCTCAGGGTCCAGCTGCTGGATGTCTTGGAAGTCCTTCTCCATGCTGGGTCCAGGGCCGAGCTGCACCTGGGGTTGAGTCAGGTGCTCTTAGGGCTGGGGCTCAGTTCGGGGCTGATGTTGGTGCTGAGATGCTAACTCAGGTGCAGGCTGTGATGGGGGTGGAAGCAGGGTAGAGTAGATCGAGGAGACAGCTTGGGTTGGGTCTGAGGCTGGAGGTGAGTCTGGGGCTGAAATACAGCCAGTCCTGGTCCCAGGTTCAATTTCAGTCAAGGGCACGTGCTCAGGTTGCGGGCTCGATCCCCAGTAGGGGGTGTGAAGGAGGCAGCGATCAATGATTCTCTCTTGTAGTTGATGTTTCTCTCTCTCCCTTCCGTTCTGAAACCAATAAAAACATATTTAAAAAAAATAAACAGCGAAAGAAAGAAAGAAAGAAAGAAAGAAAGAAAGAAATACAGCCAGTCCTGTCCCCTCTAAGATGATTGCTTAGGCGGTGGCATGGCCATGGAGGAGCCTTCCCTCCACACACTCATCTTCCCATCCGGTCCCCACTGCCCCTCAACCACGGTCTCCTTAATACCAAACGTCCCCAGTCCCACCTGCCTCTCCAATCTTGGTTACCTGCTAAAGGTGTGGAGGACTTACTCCCGGTCCCTCAGGCAGCCCAGGCCCCGAGGCTAAGAAGGAGCTGGAGCCAGGAGAAGCGGGGCAGGTGCTGCTGGCAGGACAGAGGAGGGGAGGGGGCTGGTCCAGGTGAGGGCCCTGAGCCGTGTGTCTGAATGTCCAAGTGGCTGTGACCTGGCATCTCCTGACCCCGGGACTTTGGACAGTAAACAGAAGTGGACATGGAGTTGGGAGGCAGACGAAGCGTGGTGGGGGCTGGGGCAGGACTGTCTCTGTTCTTTCTAGAGAAAGGGTCTCCTGGCTGCCCCCTCACCCCTACAAGCCGGTCACCTCGAACCTCATGGCACAGTTTGGAAGGGAGGCCTGGCCAGGAGGGTGGAAGTGCAGTTCAGGGTTTCCCCTCATCCCACCCCCTTTCACTTCCTGCCTCTGAACTTCCCAGAATTGTTGGTGTCTCCAAACACCCTGACCAGGATCAGAGGGGCCGGTTCCCTGTTCTTGCCCAATCTGGCATCGGAGCCCTGGCCCAGCTTCCCCGGCTCGGCCCAGGCTCCCCCGTGCTGGCCCTGGCAACACAAACCTTTGTCCTCACCCCCAGCCAGTTTCTCGGATAACTCTCACCACACAGCACCCAGGGGAGAAAATTACCACAAAAATTAGCCTCGAGGAGGGAAATGGGAAGCAAAACAGTGAAAGTGGGAGGCGGAGGCG